GTTTACATCGCTAGTCGTGCTGAGGAACTTGGTTGTTCTGACTCTTTTTCTCTGAGCTGTTAATGAGACGTTAATAATATGCTGACAAACTCAGATCAACCAACATTTCCTTGGTTTTGTCACGATCAGGAAAAGGTTGTTGTAAAACCCCTCATTGCCGTCATTGATGAACCCCATGACAGTGGTGTCATTTGCAAACTCAATGACATATTTGGATTCTGTGCAGTGCAGTCATGCGACATAAACACCAGTTGGCTGAGCTCACAACCTCGGGAGGCAACCTGTGCTCAGCCTGATGGTTTGTGATGCTGCGCTGCTGATGCGCGCCGACTGCGGTCGCTCTGTCAGGAAGTCCAGAATCCAGTTACAGGTGGGTGTGTTGAGGCTCAGCAGGAAGCATTTGGCGATCAGCTGCTGGGGAATGATTGTATTGAATGCTGAGCTGAATTTGATGAACAGTGGCCTAACGTAGGTGTAGAGGACCGGGCAGCGTGCGGTATGTGGGAGACGGTGTCAGCTGTGGAGCAAGTGGAGTGGCACGCAAACCGCAGGGGGTCCGGTGAGGTAGACCACTTCAAAGTTATCTCCAGTACAACTCTGCAAGTTCATGTAACTGTATAAAACAGCTAAAACGGTTGGATTTCATCCTCTTTTCCAAAATGTCTACATGGTACATCAATGAATAAATGTCAATATAGAGTCTATGACTTATTCTTGGCAAATGGTTTCAGGTTTTTTAGAACTTTTCTCGCAACCATTTGTGTTATCAAATACTAAACATTTTTTTGAGGTCGGAACCAATGTAGGGGGGAGCAGCATAAAAACCTAACAGAGTTGAAGAGACACAATTTAAGCAATTTCAGTGTTTCATAAACAGATATTTAAAAGTTTGTGTAAAAATACAGCTAACTACATAATCAAAAATGTCACTTTTGTCTTCAGTTATTTTTTGTCCACAAAGTGATTTATTTCAAACATATTTATTCTGCCAATAAGCTATTGATTCATGCATCTGTCTTGCATGCAAGGTGAGCATACTTTGTAAAAATGTTTCAGCTTGGATAAAGCCTGGATTGGATCCAGGATTAATTTATTTGTTTGATCAAACGTAACGTTAGCAAACTTACCCTGGTTCTTACTCTGGCTTTGTCTTTAGTCTTCTAATCACTCAATCATTTTCCCTTATTCTGCTTTTAAAATTTAGTTTTCTTTCACACTTCTCTTATTTTGCCATATTTTTTCTGTTTTCACATTTGTAAAAGTACCTTTCCTTTTTAAATCTAATTTTCTCCTCCCTTTTAAACCATCATCTCGATTAAGTTTCCACGTATGCCACTTGTTCTCTTGTTGATTTTCTTTGTGCTTCTGTCACAAATCTTTTCAGCAAAGTTCAGTAAAAATATTTTGACAACTTCTTCAGGGACATCAGACCAAACAAGATGAAAATCCTTTCTGCTGACAATAAATGAGTAAAGTCAGAAACCATGTCAACATTAAAAAAACTATTTTATTCTCAATTTAAAGACATTTTCTTCTCACTAAAAACCTCAGATGTCGTTTGTCCTTGTACATTATAATTCTTTATTATCTTCTCAGTAAAGCAAATCACATCTTTACTGGAACAAATCACTGACCAAAAATGTCCATCTGCATTTTAATGACAGAGTTTAATTTATTTATAGTCAGAGTAAATTATTACAGCAGACTCCCTGAAAACACTGAAATTCACATGGCTGTCTGCTTTCTGCTGATGGCAACACTATGCTAATGGTGTATATGAATTTATGTGCACTTTCCCAAACAAGCCCATCACAGAGCAGTTTAGGTGGATGAGTCGAGGCGGGAGAAAGAGTTCTGTTTGTGCCGAAGCATGCATGCATATCACTGCTGCATGCAAATGTTGCTTTTCGTCAGACGGTTTGCATGGTTATCTTTGACTGGGATGAATATGCTGACCTTCGGCACACTTTAGCTCATTTCAACCTTTTCAAAAGCAACTGCAGCTTTCAGACTGCTGACACCGAGGCAAATTGGCATTTCTCAACAAGTCACAGTGCCAGGAAGATGGAAAGGATGCATCAGACTTTAGGATCCATTTAGTAAGTGAATTTATGTTTGGTACAAACAGTACCTTGCTGAAGTTTTTAGACACATCAAATTTTTCCAGTTTTGCGATGTTACAACCACAACTGCAAAAAAGAACTTCCTGACCTAAACTACCATGCTGGGTAAGGCGAGTATTAATCAGAGGAGCAGCAAAGTGGCCCACGGTCGTTCTGAAGGAACGACAGAGATTCACTGCAGGGAAATCCGTCAGGACGACCATTAGTTGCACGCACCGCAAATGTGGCTTTTATGGAAGAGTGGAAAGAACAAAGTCATTAGTACCATAAAACCAAAAGTCCAATTTGCAGATTGCGAAACTGGAAGGCCCAATAGCAATCCTTTTCATGCCAGACAAATATCTGATTTGTGCCACATCCATATATGGTATCAAATCAGATACATAGGCAATCACTCTCAAAGCTTTTGCATTCAGAACGGTCATGTCGCTTTTCATCCAACTTTCACTTCATTGGCGTGAGACATGCATCATTATTCTGGACCAGAAGAAGCTAGAAGCCATTGTAAACTATGGCTGAAAATTATAATTCTGAGATTATGAAAGAAGGCTTCACTATCCCACCTTTCCTGGTCCAACAACACACCCAAACAGACTCCTCTCCACAAGTCACAGTCAATGCTCCACAAAAGACCATCGCTAATAGTTGTGCTTTTGTTTTTATTAGCTTCCTTTGTCTTATTATGATCTTGTGGCAATACTATCAGCTCCCATTGCTGAATAACTTCAAAAATCAATACATAGATGTTTACTTCTGTAAACGCACTGCAATTCTGCACGTGTGGGTCGCTTTGAAGTTGTAAACCATTCACATTGACATCTGATTGAAGTAGCATCTGCAAGTAACATGAATGACATGCACAAAGAATCAGATTTCAGCAAATAAAAAATGAAAAAATCTGAATTGAGCATCAAGAGCTGCTGTGTGAATGCAGCCAAATTGGGTGGCTGGATTTTTATTTTAAAGAATCAGGATAAATGAACTCTGCACAAAACTTCTAGTGTTTTCTTTTCCTTACGCTGCACAAATACGTGCATCTTTGTGTTTGTCTATCACCTAAAACCCTGTTAAAACACTTTAAAGTTTGTGATTCTAACCTGACAGAATACTGAAATGCGGATTTAAGCTTTGCAATCATGAGCTTAGATTAGGAGACAAAATGTAGATAATAAAAAAAAAAAAACACCATAATTTCACTCCCATCCTCAAGCACAAGAATTGTGCTGTAAAACATACACAAACACTTTAAAATATTTATGCAGCATCTTTATACATTCATCAGCAGGCAGGCTGGTAAGAACATTGTTCAGTTACACCCAACATAAACAGCTGTGTGATCAATACCCCTTTAATGATCCTCATTAAATTTAACAGCACTGATCAAATTCTGCTTTCTGAAAACGTAACCGTGTTAAAAGTACAGCATTAGGCTGTTTATCACTAACAGCGAGCCATAAATCTGCCTCCTCCCCTGAGGATCCTAAATAGCAGCAGCTGGCTATATTAGTGTTCAAATGCGTCTTGTCTACAGCTAAGGGACCAGCTTTGACTATGTTCTAAACAAGGCATGTTAATCAAATAAAGTCTGTGTGTAACGCAGAGTCGCATGTACTATCTAGAGCTGTCCTTTGAGACACAGAATAATGCAGTTAATGTGCTTTGGCTGTATGAGAAAATGTATTTCTCCCAGATGCTCTCAGCAGTAGAAACATGCAGGTTATGCGGATAGGAGAGAACAAAGAAGAAAGGCAAAACAAACACGTCTGGAAACAGAACGAGGACAAAGGCAAGTTCCAGGTTAACATAGGGAGGTGGACAAAAACTGTTTGAAAATGACAGCTAATAAGTATGCAATCAACCAAACACAGTCCCACAGGAAATGGTGATTTGGACTATAAAAATGAAGTCCAAAACAGCAGAAATATCTCTTTTATATTTTGCAGCATACAGCAAATCTACTGCTTTTTAAGCAAAACACACGTGAAGAAATGCAGGTCATTTTGTGTCAAAAACTTATTTTCTTCTTAAATACCCAACTAATTGTGCAAATTTCCCTCGAAATGCAAAGTAGCATTTGTAAACCCATGAATGCTGGTTATTGCAAGAAAGTACATACAAAATATCTCAGTGCACTGCTTGCAGACTTTCTAAGGGCTCCATGTTAATTTGAATTTTTAAACTATAAACTCCTCAGATAAATTTAAAAAGCTGAGGTCAATTTTTCAGTCATTTGCATGAAGTGAGAATGCAAAAGTTGCGAACATTGTTCTGATCGCCGTCTACAGAAATCTGAATTCCTTTTCCGAGTTCAAGTATTGACATTTTACTCTCAGACTGAAGCAAAATTGTATTTCATTACCTCTGTCACCATCTCTCCCATTTTCTTTTCTCTGGTTAAGCCCGTCTGCAGATACCGAAGAGCCAGAAACCTTTCTTTCATATGCTGTCCTTGAACAATCCCTCCTCAGAAGGATATCATCTCAAAGCATGGCTTCTACGATGCAAGTGATTAAATTCAGATACAAACCAACAGGAATGTGTTGGTTTGCAATGGATGTCTGCCGAGTTGACTATTTCAGGTGTGGGACAGTACTGCTTACAAATGATCACATACGCTGTTCTAGAAGATATTTAAAAAGTTCATTAGATTCTCAACGTAAGAAAAATAGAGGTTGAAACAATCTGAAACTGTCCTGTCACTTATTTTTAGGATCGGGAAACACTAATGAGGTGATAACTAGTTTGCAGTTTAAGAAACATTAGATGTTTTCAGAATCTACCCAGCTTTTAGAGCAAATCAGCTCAGGCAGCTAAATATACCGATAAAGCTAAACGAAGAAGTTATAAAGCAAGTCGTGTTCAGCCTCCAGCCATTGAAAGCAATCTCACTCAGCTCTTATTTATGCTTATTTCAATACGATGCAGCAAGGCAGTGAGAGGATGGTTCCTGAGAGAGGAGTGAAGGCGGTAGAAAAGATCCAAGACGCTGCGTTGGTGTAAACTTTCATGTACTCACCCCCCTGGTCAGTGCTGACGGTGATGATGGCCACCTGCCGGGGGAAGGTGCTCATGTCTGACACGCCGTTTAGTGACTCAATCTCAAAGGTGTAGTTGGCGTGCGATGAGAAGTCTGTGACGGTTACAGTGGCATTGGTCAGGCCCAAAGGCCTCGGCAGGAAGCGAAGCTCGTCCTCACAGAGCTGGCACTGGTTGGGTCCGGGGCCGCAGCGTTTGCACTGGACGTTGTACGTGAGATCCCGGCGACCCCCAGTGTCGCTGGGAGGCGACCACTCCAGCATCAGGCAGGTGTCATTCATGTTAAACATCGGGTTGCGAGGGGGAGATGGAGGGCCTGTCAATGAAAACGGAAAGAAACCACTGAGAATAACAAACACGTCAGTTCAGGTCTGAACCAAGCCTTTACTGCTCACATGCTGTTACAGTTTGTGGTTTAAACATAAAAACGGATAACAGATACCTTCTCAAATATTTCACATAAAATTTCTGTAATTTCGACTTTACTCTCTGGAAACTTATATTCTTTGAACTTTCCCTTGTTATACAGTTTTAAATTAAAACAGAACAGTCTGCTATTTCACGTTGCCAGAACTCCCTGCAGCATCACTTTTACACTGGATAATTTCTTAAAAACATAATTGTTGAAATGTTTGCATAACGTCACAGCTCATGCAGCGTTTACTTTATCTGCCTTACTCCATACCTCTCTGGAGCATGGAAGAATTTGATTACTGGGAAAAAAAAAAAAAAGAAAAAAAAAAAACTCACTCTAGATGAAGCAGAAATAGTGAATGCAGTTAAGTTTTATGTTGTGTATAATCTACTCTAAACTTCTTTGGAGTTACTTACAAGCCCCTTCACCTCTATCCTACCGTCGACGCCTCGTAGGCACTCTTATGCTTTCATACGCTCTCAAGAGATTTTATTATTTAGTAAAGAACCTCACATCATTGTGTTTTCTTGCAGGGTATAAGAGTATACTAAGAAAAATGTTAACAGTATTATACAGCGTCTTCATATTTACGTCCTTTAGTGGAAATCGTCTGAATATTTTAAAACAGCCTTTAATCAAAAATGCTTCATGCTATCTGAATACTTTTGAAATATAATGTAAGAGTGGATGTATGGAAAAGATTAAACAAAAAGTGTTAATATCATTTCATGTCTGACTGTGTTAACTTTGGTTCTTTTTACCACCGAAAATGGGAATGAAATGTCTTTTTGTGGATGTTTAGTGACAAACTGGCTGAAGATCACATGAGAAAATTGATTGTTTTTACTGGAGGAGTTGTTTTTTTTTCAAAATCAGAAGAAAACTCCAACATTCTGCCATAAAAACGCAACAATGTGTCAGCACAACGGATCAAAAGCAATAAACAAGCAAAGCACTGATTGATTTTACCAAGTGATATTTAAATAGCCCTAAGCTGCGAGTCTGCAGCTTTTCTTTATAGGAAGCTTTTATCTAATAAGCAAAGAGGAATTGGAGATTTTATTTTTTTCTTTACCTGAAATGTTCCAGCTGTCTGATAACATTTGCAGATTTGTCAATGTATACATCTCCAAAGTGAAGCGGCACATCTGCAGCTGATCTGTCTGTAGACTCTGCATTTTCCCTCCTGACTGGTGTTTGTATGATGGCTCTGACTCAGCAAAAGAGATCTCAACTCATTGCTGTTTTAAAATTACCAGCAGAGTATTGCTTTCAACAAACAATTGGTAATGGTTGGTAGTTACTACGACTCAGTCGAAACAGCTACTCTGCTGTTTATCTGCACTTTTGAGCAGGACTCTCTCTTAAACACCAATGTTTGGCTGGTTATGGCTGGTCAAAGCAATTCAGACTTCAACAACAACTGCAGCACCATCTGCGGCACCAGCAATAGATGCAGCACCTTTGACAATAAGGATACTCCCAGAAGTGCACAAGCTTTTAAAGCTTTTCTATGCCACTCGCATATCAACAGCCAGTGCTGAGAGGACTTTCTGACCTTTCTGTTCACCACAACACAGTCCTGAGGTCACCGATGAGCCATTAGTGCTGTGTGTGTGTACACAGAAATGGTGACAGTGGCTGCTGGGGGATTTTCCTCAACAAGCGTGACGGGTGAAAACAGTTGAGTTGTGAGAGTTTTTCGTGTCTTAATTATGGGTGTGTTTGCAGTTTAAAGGACAAAACAAAAGATGAAAGACCTTTTGCTTAAACTGCAAGATGTTATAAGAAAGTATTACAAATTGGAAGCAAAATGTCACAAAACTAACAAAAAATCTCTGCACAGAATGCAGAGGGGCTGGAAATGGAAAGTCCATCCGTCCATCAACCCATCCATCCGTCTGTCCATCCTTCCATCCTCGACAGGTTGAGAGTTTACAGGGCAACACAAAGACATAAGTAGAAGAAAGGCCTCTGTTGACTTTCACACCCAGGTTTTTCTCACTGAAAATGTATTATCTTTCAATCTGAGGTCCAACAAAGGTTGGAAACCAAAGCTCAAACTTCCCTAAATAACAAAACACCATGTAAACATCTCTCTGAAGAAGCCGGCTAAAACCCAACGCCGCATTCACGAGTTCCACAACATTCCACATTCTTCCCAGTTCTTTCAAGTGCAGTAAAGAGTCCAAGTTATTTTACAGTACCTCCCTCACAATCGCCTTTGTTGTGGTGTTTTTTGTGCTCCCTAGATGTAAGTGTTTGTGTGTCAGGGCAAGCATTGTGCTCTAGTAGGCAGCCAGCTGTCAACAGGGTGGAGTTAAAAGGCCTAAGGGATTTGAACACTCCCGTCCTGCCAAGCTCACTGTCTGCCAGGACAATGGGATGTTTCCCTCTCCTTCACATCCCTCCCTAATGTTCTCTCTCCACCATTGCTAAAAATCTCAGCAGACAGGAGAGCTCCTCCTACCGATCCGCCACTCCTGTCAGTGTGTCCATTCTCTCTCTTTATCTCTCCGTTCCTCCCTCGGCCATTATCTCACCTGCTCTATTCTCTCCATCAGGGAGAATCCACCCACCTACCCTCCTGCAGAGCAATCCCACTGCCATCAATCAGCCCCTATTCTCCTCTGAGGGGAAGATTGGTATCAGCGCCCTCCTTCCTTCCCCTCTTCACACTGTCTACTCCATCCAGTCCTTACGCATTTCCCCCGCCTTTATCTTTCCTCTTGTGACATCTTCGCTTTCTTCCTCTCTGCCTTTGTCTTCCTCTCACTCTTTAATCTCCTTTTTCTTCTGTCTTTTGGCTTTACAGTCAAGTAAATAGTTTATGAACCGACTTTTTAACCTCTAATTAAAATGCATTCTGCAAGTAAACAAGAGCTCACTGGTTGCAATGTAGATATGCTACACAAGCGCAGTCTGAGCTCCGTTTAGTTTGTGTGGTTGTCAAAACCCCCAAAAGGCTTTTCAGACTCTCAGTGTTTGTACTTGCAACAAAAAGTGGCCTTGAAGACTTTGAGTTCGCCTGAGGAAGAATAGCTGTTGACAAGCCATAAACAAGATACTTAATTACAACCCTGCACACTAAGCTGGGTTCGAAGTTCTTTGAAGTGAGCATTGGGTTCACTTATTCAGATTGTTTTTATACACTTTTCAGAACTGTCAGCAATCAGAAAAAAAATGTTTATTTTAGTTTAAAATGATGTAGATGCTGTATTAGACTCAACTCTGTGATAAATGGATATTTCTCTTCACTGACATTGAATCAAGCTAAACTTTTCTTCAGAATAGAAGAGAATATTTGCTAGATGCCAAATCAATGACCTGAATGACATTTTTCAAGAAAATCTTCATATTTTTCACAAAGTCAGATGTTTTAAAGTCTTTCTGATTCAAATTAATTCACAGCAAATTGTGTCTTTAGGTGCTTTGCAAAACATATGCATCTGGTTATTATTTGAAAACACACGTTCAGTTAAATCATATGGACAAATTTAAAAGTCAAACGCAGAGGACCAACACCAGTAGGTGACGCGACACGCCAAATCATCACGGGCTGTGAAAACTGGACGTAAAGCAACATGGAGACTGCGCCTTTCCGCTCTTACACCAAACTCTGGGACCACTTACCAAATTAGATGCAAACTTTTCTTTCACCTGAAGAGAGGACTTTGAACTAGAGAGCAACAGTCGACTTCTTTTTAGCCCAGGAAGGACGGGTCATTATCTCTGGTTGAGGAATAGCCTGACATCAATAATGAGACATTTGTAGGATTGGTCTGTGGGAACTGACTCCTTGTGAAGCTTCTCCAAATCCATGAATTGATTTTACTGGTGTACTTTATGGCCACAACATTGAAATGTCTTCTTAATTGGCGTTATGTAACATTTTAATTTTCTGAGACATAACTTTGTGTTTTCATCACCTGCAAGCCACAATAATCACATTATTAAGAAGAAAAAAAATGAAATATTTCACTTTATTTGTAATGAATCTATTTAATGTGTAAGTTTCACTTTCTAAAGTGCGCCACCAAAAAAACCTCGTCAGGATTAATTTTTGAGATTTGCCTGTAGTTAGTCACAGCAATAACACATTCAATTACTTTGGCTAGAAGACAGAGAAATATGGTGCAGAAATATGAAGCTATTGACAGCAATAGCTCAGCTGACAGCCTCCCTTTGAGAATATTCAGTTTTATTCAATTTTCTATTCTTGGTTTAACAGGGAGCCAGTGAATAGAAGAAACTATTTTTCAGGCGACATTTTTAAGTACTTTCGATAAATGATAAATACAAAATGGACACCATAACCAAATTTTTGCAAGGTATATTTTAAAAATCTAAACATTGATTCCGTTTCTTGGATTTAAGCATTTCCAAAAAGTTTTGATTTTTATTTTTTACTGCAGCTATAAATCAATATTTAATCAAATTAAATTCATTATGTGTTGTCATAGCACCACATCTGCAATAGATGTGGGGTTGTTACACTCAGGTACAACGTGATTCAAGCCAAGTTAAAATGCTACACAATCAAAGCCCAAACATTATAAAAGCAGGTAAAAAGTTTGCTACAGGAAGATCAACTTTTCAACAACTTTTAACACACGCCACTTTAAATTAACTGTCAATTTTACAAGAATGGTTGTGGACTGCAGGCAGTTATTGGTCTTAATGTTCCTAAAATTTGGGATTAAACTAAAAGTTTCTGTCTCTGGTTTCAAAGAATCTAATCTACTCTGAACTGGATGATTATACATTGATCTCACAATCTTTAAAACACTTTCCATACTGTGAAATCTGTATGCTATTTGCAAAAAATATTGCTGACAACTCATTTCATAAACCCAACATCAAGCATTATCATGAATAGTCCCCTGAGCTGGACGCCTCACTACCCATCTAGTGATTAGCATTTTTCTTGCTAACAGTGCAACTTACAGAGTACTGTAAACTAAAAGCATCTCCATAGTGTCGTTGCGTTGTCTTGCCATGAAAGACAAATGCGCTCTTCCACCCCGGAGAGCTCTCAGACGTGGCCTCCGTCTATCTCGGCGACAGCCAAATGGCTTTTTAATTAAAGGAGAATTAGTCCGGTTAAACTGTAATTTAATGCAAATATGAAGTCATAATGACAGTCACTGAATCATCGATGAAGACAAGGCAGCTGAACAAAAGCCATGTAATTCATCCAGAGACTCTCTAATGTTCGGCTTCACACCAGATAAGTCCGAAAGACAAGGCTGGATTTATGGCCCGGGCAAATTCAGGCGAAATCCCCAAGCTCCTAAGACAAAGTGATAAACCTTTCCAGATTGTCAGACACACAGAAAGATTGAAATACTTAGTATGAGTTTACACTGGAATAATTAAAGCTCAATCAGTCAAAAATACATAATGACATTTTCTACCTCTGACAGTGCTGCAGATTCCTAATTCTACTTTGTAAATCTTCGGGGATGATTCCCCTCATCATTTCCCCTGCTGTAAACCAATCAAAGATTACCTAAGGTGCTTATCTTACCGAGATAAGCAGTAAGGAAATCCATACAGGCAAATTGTCAGGCTTCCTTTTTAGGGAATAGAAATGTCCTTTAATGCACCACAGAGGGAAAATTCAGGCGTAACAGCAGCATCAGATATATAGGTTCACACAAAAAGTTCTAAAAAATACATAGAGAAAATAAGCCAGGCTTACGTGTGCATGCCATCGTTGATGGATCTTTCTCGGCTCTGAAGAAGCCTTTTTCGCAGCGGCAGATGGAGGCTCCTTCTCCATAGCTGAAACTGTGTGGAGGACACTTTGAACACTTGATGTTTCCTGCGTACGCCTTGTAGAACCCAGGACGGCATGCTGCGCAGAACAAACAGACAACAGGATGCGATGTGAGTCTGTGGGTACACCATGTCACGGATGTTTAGTAAAGAGGCCGAGCACAACCAGAGGTCCTGGTGAAAGTATTTACACCAACAGAAATGTCTCATTTTGTCAGGTTATAGACAGAAACAAGCGACACAAAGCAGGAGTTATTTGTGAAGTTGTATAGAGTAGCATACAATGTTTTCTACTGTCTTTCTGCATGACAATCTGGACCATTTAGTATGCATTTGTATTCAGCCCCCTTTACCAGTGCAACCAATTGCTTCCATAAGAGACATAATTAGTATACAGAGGCCACCTGTGTTTAATTAAGTCTAAGCATAAATACAGCTGGCTCTAATGGAAGCGTGGCAAGAAGAAAGCTCGTGTTAAAACAAAGTTTCTACAATTCTTGTAGGGCTCACAGCAAACATGCAGAAGAACTACATCTGGTCAGATGAGACTGAAGCTAAACCCTTAGTTAAATTTTATGTACATCAACCTGAACAAACTGTCTACATTTTAAAATGTAAAGATGCTTTTGGGATGCTTTTAATCTGCAGGAGACGATGGAAGATAGTTTTAACTAAACACAAAACAATGCTGGAATAATAATTATGGAGTTGATTTGTATTTAGAAACCTTTCTTCTGACTCCCTTGAATAAAATTCAGTGCAACTAATTGCTTACAGAATTTGCAGCCTCCTTTTAGAGGGGATTGTTTCTTGGCACTTCGACCTCATGTGGGGGAGTATAGGAAGATACAAAGGGACACGCTTCCACGTCTGCAACTTTCAGAGTATTTACAGAGAGGTGAAAGGATCCATTTCCTGATAACTTATCCGTTTTGTTTTCACGCTCATTAAAAACAGAAAGAAGTGTTAACCCTATTGATAACTGTCAAAGTTTTCTTTGCCCAATTTATATTTACATGTAATTCTTGGTGAATAATCGGATCCCTGGAAAATGTCGCAACAAAGAACCTCTGAGTTTGCCAACAGCGAGCTTCAAGAAACCTGGCCACAGGTTGTAATGTGCATGTGCACATTAATTATAAAACTTGTACAGTAGCTCATGATGAGCTGTATCTATTTGTGTAATTGGATCTTCAAACCAAACCAAACATGCAAAAGAGAAAAAAACTGGCACTAAAGCAGTAATTTCTTATACAGAACCTTCAAGCTACTCGTCTATAAAACACAGCAGGCACTTCCAAAAAACTAACTACCACAAACATATATGTCGGACAAGATTAAATTGACCTAGCACAGGTTTATTGAGTTGAAAATTTGGCAAAGATGTAAAACTGCAGTGTAAATATGAATTAAGAGTCACAGCAAAATATATATTTTTATTGTAGTTCTTGAATTACCAAAAACAAAATATGATGTTTCTCTTTTCTTCTATTTTGTGCTCATCATTAGCAAGTGCTACCAAAAACTTGCTTGCTACCAAAAACCAAAAACTGAACATTAGACACCATGTCAATAAATTCTAGAAAGAGATTTTTATTAAATTACATCTTAAACTCTTGTGGCTTGTTTCTATGACACCTACAAATCTATATACTGCAATTTTTGCCAACTATTTATCAAAATATCCTAAGGTCAAAACAAGGAAACAAAACATTTCCCAAACATCATGCTGCCACCGCCATGCCTCACAGCGAGTGTGGTTTTTTTTTTTTTTAAATATGACATGCAGTGGTAGTTTTCCATCTCACTTTTCCTTTTTCATCCCAAAAATATTCACAGTCGTGTTCTTCTGATAACACATTCTTTAGTATTTTTTCTGCCTCCTACATGGTTTGTATCAAAGTTTAAATGGTGCTTTTGAGACTTACGCTGAGGAACGGCTTTTATTTTGGTCTCTATCACATCAAAACCAAACGTGTGGCGTGGATAACAGCTTCTATAAGCAAATTATTACACCAAATTTGTTAATATATCCAAAGTTGCCATTGCCCTGTTGGTTGCTTCTCTGATTAAAGCTTTTTGCCCATCATTTTTAGTTGAGGTGGAAAGGCATGAGCTCCATAGCTTATTTAAAGCTTGGGACATTTTTAATGACAGATCCCCGATTTTAAATGTCTCCACAACTTTTATGTCTGACCAGTGCACTGATGGGTTTTTTTTCCACAAACACAAAACTTCTTCCTTCTGTTAACAGATGAAAACATCAATGAAAAAGTTTACACTGTTCAGTTATTTTTTTCTCAATTTTAACATATCTGGGTTCCAAGCCTCCTTTGTTCTTGAGTAGAATAAATGGGGAACAGAGAAAATGTCAGGTAGATTAATATTTTAGCAAGTATAACAATGACCAAAATAGATGAGAATGTGAATCAAATGAAAAAATAAGCTTACAAATGATTCCCAGATAAAAGTATGTTTCGACCTAAGTCCTTTCTTCCCCCTAAGCTTCCGACACACACCTACAGTATCTTACCGTTTATGCTGGTGTATTTATTCATGTATTTATTTCTTTATTTAGCAGAAATAAAGGCTATTTTTTGGAACATCAAGCCTCGTCATGCCTTTAAAGTACATGAGATCCTTTAGATGTGCCTTTGCTTTGTATTGTGCAAGTGTAGAGTTTAAAGGGTGTAGAATTCACAATGTACTACTGCATCACGTTAGGGTACTTTTAACATTATCTTCCTGTTTTTTCTCATATTGAGTGATCAACTGACTGCTGAACATGGATATGCAAGGTTTTATGACTCCCCCAAGGGGTTAAATAGCTTTTCTCCCCTAAATCAGTAGGTCACACCACTATCGGACAGGAAGCTGCAAAGTCCTGGAGTACTGCAACATGAGATTTACTTTTGAGGAAGAACATAGATAAACTCTGTAGCAGTGGTTCACAAGTCTTGGAGGGCCCATGCTATGCTATTTTTTGACATATGGTAGCCTGACTTTGTACAGTATCTGATGAACAGTAAGTCCTCAGTGTGGCATTACTTACTAAAGCTAGTGAACCTTCATTTAACAATGAAATGCAAAGCAGATTCACAATAGCACAATGGGGGTGTAAGGGATACCAGAGAAATGCTTGTAAAGCAATGGATTATTGTTCCTAACAGAAGCAATTGCTTGAACTATCATGTTTCTGTAAGGGGTCGTTTCAGTCCTTGCTACACATTTTTTTAAACATTCAAAATAAATGTATTTCTATTTAAAGATTGTCAAAAGGAAAAACTATGTGCGTGCAACTGGATTTTTTTATTTATTTAATGGTTTGTAATCCAATCAAAAAAAAATAATACTCTATCCCTTTATTCAATAACATACTGGCATTTCTACTGGAACATTTAAGAAGATAGATAAACCGAAAAATGCTTACAGGAAGTTTTATAATATTATATTTTATTGTTCATTAAACGCTACAACATTGAGTTGGCTGATATTGTTTTTTTTAAGTGACAAGGGCACCAGCCTTCAGAATACTTTTCTTCAAATGCTCCTTGTTCACAGACCTATTGCTGTTTTTTCACTAACAAGAATAATTGAATTTGGTAACACAAACTCCGCTGTTTGAAGGAAACCACCTTGAAGCAACAAGAGGCTTTGTGTTTTCCACTGCTGACTGCAACAAATGGAGCGGTCAGGAGGGAAAGGAAGAGCCTGAAACCAAGGCTTGAACTGATCAAATAAGAGCAATTAGGACACAGTCAGAAAGAATAACACTGAAACAGACACACACACGTACAGGGGACAGGAGAAAGTAAGCTGCAGATGTCAATTATAAGGCTTTTTAAGATGTTAGAGTACAGGATTGCTTCCATACTGGTCATCACTTCTTCAGTTGGATGTGGGCAAACATGCATGGTGTGCAGCACAACACACCAACGCACCCACAGCCAATCTGTATTAGTATGATAAGTGACATCCCCCACGGCGTATCAAGGCTGCCTCCATCATTAACCTCTGATACCAACATGTCCTTGAGTCAAAAACCGTCAGTCAACCTCCACACCCCAGCAGACCCTGTTTTAGACTCTGTCAACCTAATGATGCCTCTGCCTGACCTTCGCTGAACCGAGGGGATGCTCCTTTTTTGAACCACCGTGTCCTGCTGCAATCTGTCTAGATGAGCTTTGCAGCAAGGCCACAGCGATGCTGCACAGTGGGTGACCATGCGTCATCTGAGCTGGAGCACAAAGTGGGGTTCACACACGCGCCTTTAGTGAACCACCAGAAACACTTTCACCTGTGGAAGAAGAACTGTGACAAACGGCAAACTGAACTCAAGTGGACAGTGTGTTGAAGGTGCATGAAGCCTGGAGGTTGCAGCTGGAAAAATAAATGGCTGATCTGATCATCAAATGTTGATTTGGATCCATCAGTGAGATTTTACTCAACAGGCAACAACCTGCTTTGTTGACTTTATAATTGAGAGGATTAGTTTCCATTAAACTCCAATATTTTCCAGTTGAGCATAAAATATCTTCTGTTTCGTAATAAATTACCGATGTTAAAGTGAAATATATGCATAAGAACCAAATAAAAAAATTTACAGAGTGAAGCAAATATGTTTGTTAATTACTTAGACAAAGGTTTTATTAGCTTAAATGTTTCACAATTTTGTTTAGCAGAAGATTGAAACTTACTTTGCGTTCTTTTTTTAAAGCATAATTTGGATGCAAAAGGAGTAAGTAAATTAGCAATAATCTTTCACAGTGCACTAAACATTTATGGCCTGCAATGAACTGAAATTCAATTAAAAACACAAAAAGAAACAAGCAAAGTTTTGATTGAGACATCCCTAGAGAGGCTAACTCTATTGTAGACTTTAAACAGTTCTAAAAGCCCAATAAAAATAGAACAAAAACAAGATGTCTGAGTTTAATATTCCAGTGTTAACATGAAAAGACAAATGGAATGGGTTTTTATCTCAAAATAAAACCATACAGCTGTCCAACACCAGCAGAAATGTGCTGATGCCGATAAACATGACAGTTCCAAAGGCTTTGGGGCGTTGCAGAACAAATC